GGACGCGGCCGGCGGCTCCGGGAGGAAGAGGAGGAGGAAGAGGAGGAGGCGGAGGAGGAGGAAGAGGAGGAGGCGGAGGACCAGAGACTGGGACGGCTGGAGGAGATAGTCCGGCCCCAGCAGGAAAGGAACCCAGGACGCGACTACTGGAGGGGCGAGGAGCAAGGGAAGGACCAGAGGGGAGGAGAGGGGGTCAGGGGAGGGAAAGTGTGGGAGGGGGAGCCGCGGGGGTGCGCGCTGCTCCTAACTCGGGGTCGCTTTTAGCGAGAAGTGATGTTTTTCCAGCCTCGGTGAAAAACGTTACAAACATTGAAAATGGTAAAAGTGAAAACGGTTGCGACACTAGACGTTTATAAAATGACCGCGGACTGCCCTCGATGCTGATGAGAATTAGGAAGACGTCGCGCGGAGCGTCCGGAGGGAGAGGCGCTGTGGCCCGGACCTCGGTCGTGGGGAGGAGCCGGATGCAGCCGCCGGGACGCGGGGATGCCGAGGGGACCGCGGCCTGGTCTGACCGACGCACGCGGTGACAGCCGCCCTTGGGAGACGACGGCGTCTGCAAGAAGCAGCCTCCAAAGGGTGCAGCCGGGAGGCTCGGCTCGTCTGCGCCCGAGGCACGGGGCTAAGCCCCTTCCAGATGTTTTCGTTTCTACGCGAATTCCGACCTCAAAATCGAGCTTACCTGAGCGCCGCTCCTCTTCTCTCATGTCCCTCGGGGGCCGTCACGACCGTCCCGGAGCGATCTCTAGGAACCTGTCCTGGAGCGATCTCTTGCACACTCTCGCCATTCCGACCCAGTGAAAACTACCCATGTCCCTCCCTCTCCAAACTTTAACAGCCAAGAATTTCAGCAAACAGCCAGAAAGAAAGCTAAGTCTCCCCCCGCCCCCCACCCCAAGGGAAGGGAGGGAATAAGCACTCCTTTAATTTGAAAAATAATAATTAAAACTCCCTCAACTTTTAAGGCCGAGCAACATAATCTATTAATTGGTCGCTATTAACATGCAGTTTTATTGACCATAGCACACAGAAGTCTGATTGTGAGGGAGGAGTGTTTTCAATGAAAGTGGAGTTATTTTAGCTGCAGACGTGTTTACATTTCTGTGGTTTAGTCTATAACTTTCTCTTTTTCTTGCTTCAGAATTCTGCTCCATGAAGCAAAGCCCTTAGCTCCCAGACATTCCAAAAAGTCTGCCAAAATAATAGAAAAAAAGAGAGGGAAGAAAAAACACGCGGAGACCCCCAAGTCTGGGTCAGGCTCAGGGTTGGATGTGGGCAGGGTGAGTGTGCCCCCTCCCCGCGCACTTTCCAGTTAGGGAAAAAAAAAAAAAGGTTCAGGGCTCCATTTCCTGTTTGCTGGGGGAAAAAAATAAAATGGACTTGAGCAGCTGAGTTTAGAAACCGCCTTTTCCAGTACCTATAGGTTCTGAGAGGATCTTTAACCCTAGAGATGCCAAAATGGGCTCATTAAAATTTGAGACTCAGTCAAGGAAGGTTTTCCCTTGTTAAGATGGACAGCCTTCGTGAAACTACAAATGCATTCCTAGGAAATTTCTTGAACAAACAGGCACACCATGGTAGTTGGGATACAAGCCCACTTCTCCATAGGTGGCCAAGAGAAGATACCAATAAAAATAGATATTGAAAACAGATTAAATTTCTGACAAGCATGCATCCTTTTTTTCCCCCTGAGGTACACAGAGCAGAATGTATATTTAAAAGGGGTATTTAGTAATAGGGTCTTGTCAGTTTATACACTCTGCTCGAATCGTCATTTGCAAAGTCGATTGCATTTCCTTTAGTATTGAACGTGCTCACTAGTCACACAGAAGTCCCCATACTCCAGTTCACATGGTCTTAAAAAATATTTGATCTGACTCTTCTTAACTACCAAATGCATATTTTGGTTGCTTTTCTCTCTAATTATTCTCCAGATATTCCAGATCCAAGATATTTTACTGGATTTTTAAATCTTCCAATTAGCCACTAATTTTCAAATTTCACCATAGTGAACCCTTAACATTTAGGGGAATGCTTTAAAGTAAACAGGTTCTGAACCTATTCAATGAGATCAGTCGCCCACAGGCCAATGACTCTTTTTTAATACTTTAAAAGCTTTTTAATACACTGCCAATGTTTCTCAATCATCATCACTAGCACTGAATATTATCACAGTACAGAACAGTGCTAAAAACAATATGCGTGCTGATGAGCAAAATAATGTTTAACATTTTAAGAATAATGAACTGCACTTTAGTAGTGGAAGGAACATGATTTCAAAATGAGCTCAGAAAAACCCCGATATTTGAAACAATGTTGTTTGTGACTCTCCCTCACTACCATCTCCAGTTCCCCCAAAAGACACTGCAAAGTGAGAGAGAGAGAGAAGAGAGAAAAGAGAAAGATAATTTCTTAAAAGATGAAAGACGCATACCGGGCCCATTCATAAAATGTGGGTCATTAACCTTGAAGAATCTCAGTAGCCAGAATCCGAGAATTTTGCATATGACATCATCTCCTCCAACTGATTGCATCTTGTAGTTATAGTTAGGAAATTCTTTCTGCTGTCCAATCTAATCCCTACCTACGGCCACAGCATTCCCTTCAGTCTGGCCCATGATTTAGGTCAAATAGGAGGAAATCAGTTTCAGTGAATTAAATCAATTAAGTTAACTTGAGAGGTCAAAAGAAAACTAAGAGACGACGTCACTTTCTGTATTGCAGGACAAACATCATAATTCTAATTAAAATGTCATTTAAAAGGAAAGTTTTTATAAAAACACCACTTGATACATTCCATAAGAATTAGTATTTTAAAAGTATTTCATACATGAGATGGTCTTCTTTTTATATAAAGTTTTGTGGTCGACCTAATTCATTTTAAAATCCCTTTTATCCAAAAGATGTTTTGGATTAATTTAAGTATTTGTTGCTGGATAATGTCAAGCTCCTTTTCAATGAAATGTCCTGTGTTGGGTTGTCACACCTGTTAAATATAAGCCTCCTTTTCTTTTGATATTCTGAGAAGGGCTTTAAAAGGTTTTCATCCCTCAATATGGAGATTTAATTGCTTTACCTATAATAAAAATAATCCCTATAAAATTTAGATTGTGGATATTTCAAAGCTGAAAGAACTATTGGATTGGGATGTAAAGGTTGCAGTTCAAAAAGTCTTCCACTTTTAATATAACATGCATGGTGTTATGAGTTATAAAATCCTGGTTATCATTTTGGAAGGTCTGGTTTTTGTTGTCCTTGCACGGAGCGTCTTTGAGCTTACTTTATGGCTTAGCAGTTCTGTGTGTGCATGTGTTAAATATGGAAAGGGTAGCATATCCCTCTACAGTAAATGCTCACAAGGGAGGAAGTCTCAGATTCTGTTTTAAACGAGGTACTGGAGTGAGATTCCTCACACTGCCCCACTCACATCTTTGGTGAGCTCAAATCTGGCTTGAAGCCATTCTGAGGATGGCCATGGTTTGAGAAAGGAGATAGCTGTCATGCTTCAGCCACTGCCAGGTGTCTGAGCCTTAACCCCCCCAGTCTCCACCCAATCACCTGGGACCTTCTTTTCATCATGCAAATAGGTCGGGCAGCACAAAAGCTTAGGAGTCATTAGAGGCCCCTGTCCTGTCCCATTCCTAGTTCCACTTCCCCTCATGGCAAATGATTAGAACACACTCGCTCAAGCAACCAAGATATGGAAGCAATGGGAATATGTGTCAGAACACGACAGTTGGGGGTTCCAAGTGGAGCATCCCTGGGTCCCTCTCTCCCCCACCACCCTCACTCATTCCCTGATTTCCATCACTGACTGTTAGTGAACAGGAGGACAGATGTGTATCTTCTCTTAGGGGAGTCTCTAACCTAGTACACAAGCATCACTATTATCTTTTATTACTTGCTGTTAAGAAGTCAGTTTTAGGTGTTCTTTATCCTTCCAGACAAACTAATTTCATGCAACACTCTCACCCTCTGAAGCGCTTTTTAAATCTACGTCAGATGCAGTTTAAGTCTTTAGTACACACAGCAGTTCTCAATAACACGTGGTGACCACAAACTGCTCCGTAAAATTGCATAATGTATAATTCCTATCAACTTGCATAACACACAAAATAAGTTGATATGAAACACATTGTCCATCTGTCAATGAGCTTTGGTGACAAAGATTATACAAAACAAATCAGGAGACTCTATTTGTATTTTTAAAGTGGAATTACATAGAGTACAACAGGAGATTTACTCCAGCTTTTCTGACAATTATACTTAGGCAGTTCAGTTTTGAACATCGTATACTATGACACTAAATCTATCACGAACAATTTTGTCCTGTACATTTTCATAGCATGATTACTCATGAGTGTAAAACTAGTTGCAATTTTAGAAAATTGAGACAATTCCTTCTCAGCGATTTTTTTGTATTGATAAAGTCACTAGCTGATATGGTTTGGCTGTGTCCGCACCCAAATCTCCCAGAATTCCCACATGTTGTGGGAGGGGCCCAAAGGCAGGTAATTGAATCGTGGGGGCTGGTCTTTCCCCTGCTATTCTCATGATAGTGAATAAGTCTCACAAGATCTGATGGGTTTATCAGGGGTTTCCGCTTTTGCTTTTTCCTCTTTTTTCTCTTGCTGCTGCCGTGTAAGAAGTGCCTTTTGCCTCTCGCCATGATTCTGAGGCCTCTCCAGCCATGCGGAACTGTAAGTCCAATCCAACCTCTTTTTCTTCCCAGTCTCGGGTATGCCTTTGTCAGCAGCATGAAAACAGACTAATACACTAGCATAACAGTACGTCAGTGCAAATAAAAGCAGTATCTTTTTTTTTTTTTTTTTTTTTTTTGAGACGGTAGAGTCTCGCTGTGTCACCAGTCTGCAGTGGCGTGATCTCAGCTCACTGCAAGCTCCACCTCCCAGGTTCACACCATTCTCCTGCCTCAGCCTCCTGGCTAGCTGGGACTACAGGCACCCGCCACCACACCCGGCTAATTTTTTTGTATTTTTAGTAGAGACAGGGTTTCACCTTGTTAGCCAGGATGGTCTCAATCTCCAGACCTTGTGATCCACCTGCTTCAGCCTCCCAAAGTGCTGGGATTACAGGCTTGAGCCACCGTGCCCTGCCAAAAGCAATATCTTAAGTTCTCTTTTGTATCCTAAAATAGTAAATCATTATGTTAGGATTATGGATGATCTGATACAATTTAAATGGGTAAAACGTCCATTGCAGGTATCATGCACCAGCAATTATTAGGAATGCATGTGACCAGGGATCCAGCACTTAGCAGCCACATGACCTTGGGCAAGTCATAACCACTTGATTAAAGCCTCAGTTTTCTTATTTAATAACTGAGGTTGTTGAGGTGGATGACCTCAAATATACTAAACACAGGACCTTCCAGGGAAGAACTTGGGTTATTCATCTTCCTCTCTACTCTTTGGGGTAGTGACTAATTGATTGATTAAGGGGAAACCTCTTGGTAATTTACTTCTCTTTGATTAAACCCTTATGCACACACTTCTTGCTTCTCTTCAGCAGCACTGCAGCAAGAAGTGTGCCTTTCTGGGATATGTTCTGTTACCTTTGCATGCTATATCCACCTGGTATGGGTGGAGAACTACAGTCCACAGAGCAGCAGTCTGCACCCTGCCTCCACATCAAAACCACTTTGATGATGGAGCTTCAAAACTATTGCCATCATCTGGGCACCATCTCAGACCCAGTGAATCAGGATCTCAGGGGACAGAGAGACCATTGTGGCACTGACAGGTACATTTGAAACTCTCCAGGTAGTTGAAATGGACTTCCAGG